ACTTGTTCTTAACTCCAATGAGTGAGCAAGACAGAATTTCTCCTCACAATATCAATACAATATCAATCAGACAAGTGATGAGAATGTATAAAAGTGTGAGTTTGACTTTATTTCATTCGAATTTCCCGGGTGGGTGGTGTCCCTGTAGATGATGACGTCGTTTCGTTGTTCAGCGGCGTGTGACGTAGTTGTGCATCACTTGCCGGCCGGGTGGTCCAGTGTTTACATAGGTGCGTTTGCATATTCTGTTACATTTCGTGTTTGTTACGCCGGTAGTTAGTTAAGCCGGTTATCTCACTGGTCATGTGCAGTTTCCAAGAGATTGAACATGCGTGAACTGACAAGGATGGCTTTAGTAAGCGTCCAAACCGTCCGCGGCCATTCAAAGCTGACTTGCTAGGAGGGGATTATATTTTTAAAGAAGGGCCTTCTTTACGAATTTTGTCTTGTTTGGTATTTTTCCTTTTCCTTTTACGATTCTTTTAATCATTTAGCTGTCGGATTGTGACCCAAAAAAGAGAGAGAGGTGTTTTTTTCCTCATACAAATGCTTCTCTTTGCAAGAAAATCAAGAGCGGAAGTCAGTGGCGAAGGTGTACTCAAAAAAAATAATAAAATTCAACACAATTAAGTTATAAGCTTGAGGTCATGATAGTTAGGATGGAGCTACACAGGGAATCATTGTCAATGTTCAAGGTTGGAGGAAAGAAAGTTCACGAACAACACGACAATCCAAGTAGTCTTTCTGGGAACACAAACCACTTGTTCTCTTTTGGCATTAAGAATATTCTCATAAACGCTGGATTACCAAGAGATAAATGTGATGAATTATTGTCTTTTCATCATGGCTCGACTCAACTAGTTACTCATTTGGCTTTGCTGTTTTCTTTTTCCCTTTTCTCAGTATTACTATGAATACACGTTGACTCAATGATGTGGAGAAATAAATTAAAACATATAGCAGCAAATGGCTCGAGACATCACACGACTGTCAGTTTTAGACGTTATAAGTCAGCAATTTAAAAAAAAAGTGTTATCGAAACTTGATATGGAATTAGTCTTGTTTTAGAGTCTGATACTAAATCAAACACGGGAAACAAATTCATTTTCAGAATTTTTCAGTTTCGGCACATATTTACATATTTTCAAACTAAGCTTTACTTGATGTTCCACGCCAGTAGCGAAATTTCTCTCAGTAATCAGAATAGTTTGTGCACGTGTAAACATTTTCACCCGGTATGCTGTATATTTAAGTAAGACGAGTTTACGAGCTTGTTTCTCAGCGCTCGGCTACGTTGAAGTTTGAATCGGGAATCAGGTGTCGAAGCAAAAATTTGACGGTTCTGAATCGCATAATGATTTTTACAGAGCAGCTAAACAAATATAATGACATTCAGTCATATAAAATTTTCTAGTTTTGATTGTGGCAGATTCATTCCGGCCCATGGCTGTAATCTTCTGAAGGGGCTTTTGACCATGTACAAAGATGGCAGATATTCTGATGTCACTTTCAAGATCAGTGAAGACCGACGGCTTTCAGTTCATCGTGTTGTTCTGGCCTTTTTTAGTCCTTACTTTGAAGCCTTGTTCGGGAAAAGCGTTATCGAAACTTGATATCGAATTAGTCTTGTTTCAGAGTCTGATACTAAATCAAACACGGGAAACATATTCATTTTTTAGAATTTTTCAGTTTCGGCACATATTTCCAAACTAAGCTTTACTTGATGTTCCACGCAAATAGAGAAATTTCTCTCAGTAATCAGACCGGTTTGTGCACATGTAAACATTTTCACCCAGTGTGCTGTATATTTAAGTAAGACGGGTTTTCGTGTTTGTCCTCTCAGTGCTTGGCTACGTTGAAGTTTGAATCGGGAATCACGCGTCAAAACAAAAACTTGACGGTTCGCGTAATGATTTTTACAAAGCAATTAGACAAAATAATGACATTCAGTTCTCATAGCTACATCGGCTCTGGCAGCTATATGAAATTTTCTATTTTTGATTGTGGCAGATTCATTCCGGCCCTGGACTGATAGTGTCAATTACCAAGACCACCAATCGAACTGAGGTATTTTGGTCCTCTCCAGAATAAAAAAATACTAATTAAAAAAAAAATAATAAACAAACAAAGCTATGCTCAGCTTCGAAAATGAAGGTAAAATACATTGCCATTAATCGGTTGAAACCAACGTGGTCAAGCAGAAAGATTAGGATTTCCCTTGGTATCAAAATTGTTTACATGGCCACCGCCGAGGGACTGTGAACCTCTTCTTCTGTCAGCTCTCTTTCGATGAATATTAATCTGGAAATTTTAACACAAAAGATTAAAGCCATGGTTCCGAACTGCTGAAGGAACTTTTGACCATGTATTCCACCTGAGTGTGAGATCTGGTAACTAGTCACCCCGACTTCCGCTTTCGACTAAAATCTGAACACTTTGCAGACCACGTTAGCGAAACCGAACATTTTGACTTTTCTCTTCTCGGAAAATCTTCAAAATG